TATTTGGGGTCAGGAGAGGATAAAGCTGATGAAACCTGAGTGGAGAAACAGAAGTTGATGTATACATAATCTCTTTTTCATTGTCGTTCAACTGAAAATAAGGTTCCCTGAAGAGCGATTGTTAAGGGAGGCTGGTAAGACAGTCCTCCAATAAAATGAATGGCATTTTACTTCTGATCAATATAAAGCTACTTTAGGGCAAAAATAAAAGGTGTAGCGATGAATCTAGATGGGAATGACATCGCCAGATTTTCTTAAATGAAAGGAGTTTTTCTGTACACAATTTAACTGGACTGCAGTACATTTAAATAAACAGTATTTCTTGAATGTGACAGGCATATTGGTGAATGTAGTGAGGATTTAGTAATCCCTCCTGATTTCAAGAAAAACGTTGATCCAATAATTGTGAAATGTGACTGATTCTCTAGGGCTTTGCAGAGGCCAGAATACATCTTTCAAACCACGGTGTATTTTCCATTCTCTCTCAGTAGATAATCGGTTTTGTGAATCATCTTTAGGGGCTGGGAACTCTCTCTCTCCTTAACATTGAGAATGATTAGCTGGTGTTTGTGTAAATTAATGCATGTACTCTGACTGCTTTAGCAGCCCAAAGTAAATGGTCTGGGGGTGATTAAATTTGTTTTTCACTGAGAACATCTATACCTTTTCTCATATACTAATATGGATGTACTTAAGACACACACAGTGCTCAGAAGGTCTGGGTATTGGCTTATTTGGAAATTCACTGGTGTTAAGTTCTTTAATTATCATAAAACACTCTTATTTTTTAGGAGTGTCAAATGACTCCTTTTGACTTTTAGATCAGACCTAAAAGCCTTGATATGGTCCATTAAGCCCAGCCTCCCTACCTAAATGTGCTGTGCCACCTTCCCGGAATCTTTTCCTTATCATTCTAAGTCCCATGCTTTTCATGTTCCAAATTAATATTCACTCCTATAAATCCTTGGACTGCCATCATCACAGTGATACTAATTTTTATACGCTATAAGGAAAAATATTTGTTCTGAAATCTCTTCTAAGCCTGGATCTTCCATAGCTGTTATGTGTCTTTTCCTTTTCCCTTTAACAAATGTAGTTTTTGTTTTGTGTATTCCGTGCACCATCTAGTAGCCTGCTGTGTGGCACCTCGGTGGTTTCTAATGAATGCTTGTTGAATGAATGGTAGAACATAGAATTGGAATGGGTGTCAAGAAATCATCTAGTGTTTTGACAGATGGTAACTAGTCTTATCAGGGTGATCATTTTGTATTGTAAATAAATGTCAAATCGATATGTCATACACGTGAAAGTAATACAATATTGCGTGTCAGCTATACTTCAGTTAAAAGGAGAGAAATCATCTAGTTTTTGATGTTCTTTCAGCTTAATTCAATAAATATTTATTGGAGTCTTTTTTTGGATGAGCTGCATGGCATAAAGAGAGAGTTCAGCACTGACTAGAAAGTATCCCACATACTACATGGCTACCTGTCATGTTTTTTTAAGGTCTCCAGTGGTGAGAGGTTTCAGTGGCGAGTCCTTTTAGAAAATACTATCCTACCTCTTGTAGTAAAAAGTTTCTGACATTGTTGTTCATGAGTAACATAGGCATTAGAATAGCAGATTTATAATCATCCAACTCATAATCATTATGTGTCTTTGCTCCTGGATTTTAAGCATTTCCATTATATTGATGTGCCTTTGAAACTGGTGGGATTTCTACGTGGTCATAGAAGGATATTTCTTTTTCTTTTTAATGCTGATTAAAAAGTGATCTTACTAAAGTGGAATTTAGAGCTGGGGATACAGGAATGTATTGTATAGTTTCCAGGTTCATTTCTGCAATTCGGAGTTCAAGTTTCATAGGCTATGATAGCTGGTTGTGAGTATTTGAGACCAGAATATAAATACTTATGTTTGTGTGTAGCTACCTCTCAAAATATCTGGGTTTTTTTTTCCAGTAAGAGTTTTCACATAGTTTGAAATGAAACAGATGCGTTTCCACAAGAAGTTTATGTGCTTATAACTGAAACCTAGTAGATAATTTAAGATGTTGTAAATCTGAGCCGTGATTGACAAAGGAAAAACTTGTTTCTAAACCTTTGCTAGTTCACTAAGCATTATTTTTAAATTGCTTAAAAATATTTTAATGTCATCGAGACAAAATATTGTCAACAATATTTTAATTGTTTAAAAATATTAATATCAGTATTTTATTTTCATCCCACGTATGGCCGTGTATGATTTTGATGTGAATGGTATTTTTTATGGATGAGCAGAGAGGTAGAGACTATCAGTGGTTCACAGACAAGCACATGGACACTCCAGGAAAGAAGGAAGAGAATGTGATATCCGCACGAAGTGATCCGCTTTTAGCCTAGAGATAAAGTTCGATGCAGAATACACTGAAATTGTTATCGATGAGCGTTTATAACATAGCCCTGAAAGGAGAAGGTTATCTAAGGAGCAGATTGCTGTCCTAAGCCTGTTTCTAAGGAAAGGTAGCCATTGCCTGGTCCCAACAGACAACTGTGAATAAAATAAGGCAGCAGTTCAAGCACAAGATTTAGGGTAAGGGTGCCTGGGGCCACAGAGTTTTCAACACAGCATGGGGATCTGTGATCTGTGATTGAGAGACCTTCCAGCAACACAGATAGAGAATATAGGGAGAACATAGAGAACGTAGATAGAGAATGGGTGTAGACTTGGCTAAAGACTTCAAGTCAGTGGGTCAAGGTCAAACTGAGAGCCTGGGATGTAGAAAGAGCCTGGGGTCGTGGGTCAACCCTACTTAGAAAGTTGGCTCTACTCAGAGAGCAAAGGTAGGAACAAAAGTATGTGAGGCAAAGAGTGGGCACCTAAACTGAAATCAAGAGGGGATTAAGACGGCAGGGAGACCAGAAGCCCAGAATGCTGTCAGGGCACCCCTCCAGCAGAAACGCAGAGGGAGAACAGGCCAGAGGTCGAGATTGCAAGGAGACCCTTGGTGATGGGGGCAGCCAGGGAGGAGTCACAAATTTCCTACTGTTGGTGAACCACATCTCAGGAATGTTTAGCCGTGGAGCTGTGAGTAATGAGAGGGGACGCTGCAGCGTGAAAGCCATCCAACAGCAGAGAGGGAAACAGAAGAACTTCTGTGAAAATACGACATCCACTGGGCCATTGATGACAGCTACAAATGTGTCCTCAGCGCCCGAGGACATTCATGTATTGTCAAACAGTGTACGGTGTAACAATGACGGTTAAACTTGTCTAGTACATTCAGGCAAAGTTTTATCATCGTTTTAGAATAATTCCTCTTTTCTAAAGGTTAAAGTGTTTTGTGCTTAAAAAGGAGAAATATTTATCTACGAATCCACTAATGTGATTCAATTCCCATTAATCATCAGATACTGGGGGGCGTGGATGCCTGACGGAACATTAACTTTTAACCTTTGAATTCAGGTGTCAGTCATTTTTGCTTTCCACTTTTGTCTCCACACCTGTGGTTTCTGCTCTGCCTTGGCGTTCTGGTTGATGTGTGTTAACGTGCATTAACTCTCCGTGCTGTTTCTGTTGATTCCTTTTCTGAGCCACCTTGCCCAGCTGCCTTTAAAAATAAGTGCTTATTTTCAGTATAAAAAATAAAAATCATCTCCTGCAGCTAAGAATATTTTTATAAAGTGTCGATTATAAGTTCTTAAGGTGTTTATACGTTTGTATAGGACGGGCCGGTTCTTTCAATGAGTTTTTGTCATATCTGTCGTTGCACATTGAGCAGGTGCCTTCTTGTTCTGATCACCCCCCTCCTTGGATGTGGCACTGTTTGTTTCAGCCAGACCCCAGATTTATTGTGCGTCCATGGGGTACGGAGACCTTTGCGGACTGCTGTGGCGACATGAGAAATGACAGGGTCCTTGTGGTTCTCTGGGTGTTTATGTTCTGCACCTTCTCGGGTAAAGCATTGGAGTGGTGGCGAGTTTTATAAGCAGTTCCTCTTCTCTGGTCTCCTCTCAGACACTGCCTGCATTCACCAGCTTTTGTGGGGAGAGCAGGCCCAGCCCAGTGGGGCTCTGCACGACCCTCAGAGTTGGGTGTTGCATCATTGAATTAATTAAAAATCTACTTTAGACTTGCAGATAAAAGAAAGTAATAGATCCCCAGATATTTTTGTCCTCACCCAGTTGATGTATTTAGAAAGAGCAGGATTTGTTTCCTCAGGGACGGGCTGCAAATACACTTATTTATCCACTACTATTTATACAGACTGTGAGTTAGGAGGTGACCTCCATCTCAGCAAGATAAATCCTGGTGTCCAGAGTCCAGCCAGCCTCATCTACTGCTGTGTAGCTAAGTGGCTATCGAAATTTGTTTTCTTGAGAAGGCAGCAGAGCTCTGTCTCGCACACGTAAGGTTGCTGTGAGCGGGTTATCAAACTGCCAGACGCCTATTAAACTGGGGGTGTTGCTCATCTTTATGGGAGCAGGAGTCAGGTTCTGATTGTATGCAGGGCTGTTTTGGGCCCTGATATGCACACATCTCCAGGATCATCAGCTTACTACCAATCACTGATAAGCTGTATGCTCTCAGACACAGGAGAGAGGCACAAGCTATATCACCCACAAGGTGCTCACTGAAGCCTGTGAAGGAACCCTGGTAGCAGGAGCCACGTTTTCTGAAGATGCTCCTGCTGTGTTTTACATGACTGACTGCCCCCATTACTCCGCTGTGATTCAGTTACAGCACCTAGGAAGATCAGAGCCGTGCCATGTGAATTTTTTGCTTCGTCTAAATTTAAGCCTGGCCACCAAGGCTTGTTTCCTCTCCCCTGGAAAAGCAATTTAGCCTGCAGAAAATAATGAAATCCGCGGTATCTCGCAATAATTAGAAATTCGAAATGGGGAGGGTTATTTCCATCTGATTCCTGTTGCCCAAGAAAATGCCCAAGGAGAGCATCCTGACAGTCACCAGGTTCATTTACAATCCCATCGCCTTCAACATGTTTGTCCTTTCCCCTGCAGGATCATGCAGATTTGCGAAGCCATTTCTTCACAGTTGGGATGAAGCTAGAGACAGTGAATTTGAGCGAGCCCTTTCATATCTGTCCTGCGTCGGTGACCAAGGTGAGTTTTCCTCCCTCCACCTCCGAGTGGATCAGATAAGTCTTTCCACTCAAAGCCAACCAGGTGAAATGCGCTCATGCGAGGATGTGTCGCAATGCCAAATAAACCAAAGGACGAGTGCCTTCTCTCCAGTCAGTGCTGTTTTAAGCTCTCTTTTTATCACTGATGTCACAGAGTGCATCTAATCAGATGCCTCCTCTTATGCTGGACGGGGTGCATTTCACTTCTCTTCTGATGGTACAGGGTCTAGACCCCCGTGTCCTTGAGTGACTTGGAGGAAGATTGGGATGCATAACTGTGAGTTTACAGCAGTGAACTCTGCCACTAATATGTGCCACCTTCTGTTATTAACCATAATCACATCAAAACCGCCATTTGTTCCTATTATCATTAAAATAAACCAGTGATGAGATGCATGTTGTAATCATTATAACAGTAACTTGCTCCTCCTCCACTGATAGTGGTTAATAGGCTCTATGTATATTTTGGAAATGATGAAAAGCAAATTCCCGTCTCCAATGTGTCAGCCCTGCTCCTTCCTTTTTCTTCTCTACTGTTCATCGACTAAAGGAAAAGTCATGCTTCTGAGATTTGCAGGTTTAAAATGATGAAATCACCTTTTCACGCAAAGGCATTTTTATTATGGTCTGGTAGTGTTTTAAGATTATAATTTCCATTCCCCATCAGAGAAATCTCAATGAAGTAACCTATGGTAACGTTGGAAGTACGTGCTTCCACCTTAAATTTCCTCTTATAAACAATGGGAGAAACCAGCAAACAGCATTCTTAGCCAATGTGTTTTAGTTAATGGCCTTTTGTGCACTTCGTGGGGGGACTTAATTAATGGTTCAAAAGTCAATTCCATTTTAATTTCTTTTTTTGTAGGAGATTAGATTTGTTAATGCAGTGATGAGTGTTTTAAAGTTACTTGAGTCATGCTTTTTTATTTTTATTCATGATTTGGTGAAATTTGAGAAATAGAGTGGTGATAATATTACAGATATGGAAAATGGTTATCATAATAAAATGTCTTTTTCTTCTTTTCTAAATATTTTTTCTTTAGTGAACATGAATTATTTTTACAACTATTAAAGTAATTTATTTAAAGAACAACCACATATGAGAAACAAATACTGACTTATGCTTTGAATGAGTATCTCAGGGTTGAAATGCATGCTCTCACCATTCATACACCATCCATTAAAAACCTTTATATTTGGAATGGCCTATAGGGCTTTTTACTGTGTATTCTGGTAGTTGCACATTTTTCCAAAACCAAGGAGTGTTACCTTGTTGAAACCTGACCTGAATTCCCTTTTGTTCTAGCAGTGGGTGATACAGTAATGCCAGCTGCCCGTTTATCTGGATCTGTATCACCTTGACCTCATCCTAAGGGGCTCTGATGTCAGCTTCACCTGGTATTTACAAAATAAACCCAACAGAGACACATGTGCTGAGTCTGTCAGTGTTAGATGCTCACATTTTTATACCTTTAAATAATTGTAAATTGTACCAAAGAAAAAATACTGAAATCATTCTGTTTCTTGTGTACTCGTCTTCCTCCTCTCATTGGCCCTGTGTCATATAACACATCGACTGGATTGTGGGCTTCTGCCTCTTAGAACTCGGGTGGGCACCTCCCCAGGTTCAAGACTCACCCACCTGTGATGTAGTATTAGAATATTCTTTCTTTCTTTCTTTCTTTTTTTTTTTTTGCTGACGAAGATTGGCCCTGAGCTAACATCTGTTACCAGTCTTCCTCTATTTTACATGTGGGTCACCACCACAGCATGGCCACTGATAGATGAGTGGTGTGGTTCCGTGCCTGGGAACTGAACCCCGGGCCACTGTAGCGGAGCGCACCAAACTTAACCACTAGCCCACTGGGGCTGGCCCTAGAATATTCTTAATGTAGAAGATATTTATAATTAAATATATTTCTCTTAACATTGGGAAAGGCTTTAGAATATTATATTTGAGAATATAGCACCCTGAGCTGTTACTACTCATCATAATGAAAATTTCACTTTTATTTTTCTTGGGGCTTTTCTTCATGGCACAACCGTTGAGGGAAAAAATAAATAACGTTAAAACGAATAGACAAGAAAGCAGAGACGCATGTAGCAAATCTAGTGTCAAATGACCAACCTTCAGCTGTACAATGAGATTATGTTTTCGGTGTTCCAGAACAGTGCGATATTAACACATGGTGATGACGATGCCAGTATGGTCTGTGTGTGTGAAATATACTGCATTGTTTAGACAAAGGATACTGGAATTAGAAGTCTGGATTCTCTTTCTAGTTCTGCTAGCTCTGAGCTGCACAGTCTTGGGCAAGTTGGTGAACTGCTCTGGGCTCAAGTTCTGAGACCTGTGACTTCTGGACCAGATGGACCAGCGATTCTGAACCATCTGAACATGAACCCTGATGGATTTGAGGAAACTTATTTTAGCTTTTCCTCTGAAGTGCGCACACAAGAACATGCATGTTAATGGGTTTTGGAGATTCCTTAGTGCCTTTCTTTACAGATCCTGCCACCGGAATCATACATTTTTTTATATACATCTGTGTGTGTGTGTGTGTGTGTGTGTGTGCGTGAGAGACCAGATCACGTTAATTTAACAAATATTTACTGAGCATTCGTAGGCACTATTCTGAACAATGGGAACACAGACAAAAGTCTCTTTTCTTATAGAGCTTATATTTTAGTGGGGGGAGACAATAAACACAATTAATAAGTAAATAGATACAGTATGTTATTTGTTAAATGCTAAGGAGAAAGATCCATCAGGGAGGGGACTAGAGGAGTGTTGAGTGGGAGGGAGAAGATGTGATTTTAAATCAGGCTGTCAGGGAAGGCCACCCTGGGAAGGTGATGTTTGATCCTAGGCTCCTTAAAGTCTATTTTCAAAGGCAAGCCTCAGGCAGCAGAAATCTAAGTATTTACTGGAATTAGCATTGAGAAGAACAGAATCCTGTTCTTTCCTCCTTAGCTTTGAACTAAGATGCTTCCAGAAAATATTTTGTAAATGAAGGAGCCAGGAATTATAGCTTAGTAAGAGTGTTAAGGTTTCCTAAGAAAGACTGGTTTATGTCTGTTGGGTTGGGAACGATCTCTTTTCCCTGGCCTATTTTACATACTAGGTTCTTTAAATCCATCACGCTTTTCAGTGTCGAGGTTCACCAGATTTTTGCACTCTGCTTTTCGCATCAGCATGCCTTGTCCTATTTCTTCATTGATGTTTTTTCTTCTACTCAGTGAGTGTTTATCCAGTTCCTATGGACAAAGCATTTTTAATGCATTGTTGGAATATCTTGATGAGTTTCAAAGAGGCCACTCTCCTCCAAGGACTTAGGCTCTGTTGGGAGAGACACATGTGGTATCAGTCCACAGGAAGGAATGAGGATTTTCAGTGCAGAGGTGCATCTCTGATGCTTTGGGAGCACAGAGCAGGGGCCATTTATTGCAACCAGAGTGGTTTGGAAAATTTCCCACCAGCATTGACTTCCGGGATGCACCTTGAAAAATACAATGTGTTTTGATTGACGATGGAGTGGGGCGTTCCAGACTGTGTGAATACTGAATAAGGACCCGCCTGCTGGAAATGATCTCCTCTTGGGCTGGAGGGTGGGTAGTGGAGGGATGTGTTGCAGGATGAGGCCAGAAATCTCCAAGCCAGACCGTAGAGGCTCTTGAGTGATTCGGTGTGAGGGCTTGGGTCCCTGCTGTGGACGTTGGGAAACCACTGTGACCTTTCAGTGCCCCTCCTGGCCAGGGTCTGTCTGTCTTACTTCATCAGGTTGTTTTTCTTCTAGCTCTGGCCATTGGTTTACTTCTCTGAAGTCACTGATGTTTTTCATTCTCTATCTCCTATATGTTCCAGTTATTCGTTTATCTTTCCGTTAATATGACCGCAATGATCAACTCTAACTTTTTAGCAATTAGTCAGTTTAGTAATGCTCATTAAAATGCCAGTTTGTGCTCAGATCACTTTGATGAAATATATTTATTTCATTTGGAAGCTGTGCCAGTATTTCATACTAGCATTGTATGTAATCCCAAGGAATTAACCCTGGGCGCTGTTGCTGTTTTATCTTTCAGGTTTTTAACAATCATTTTTTTCAAGTGACGATTGATGACCTAAGACCAGAACCTAGTAAACACTCGATGCTGTGCCACGCGGATTCTTTGGGGATTTTACCAGTACAATGGTGCCTTAAAAATGGAGTCAACCTCACACCTCCCAAAGGTTTGTATTCTGTGAAAATTTGGAGGGTTTGGATGATTCAGGAGGGTGTCGTATTGTCACTGAAGTGATGCTTTTGTTAATCTGGAGAACTTAATGTTGTAAATAGTTTAGAAGTAGTGGAAAAATAGTGTGTTGCATAGTTAGCTTGACATAGAATCTGTTACAGCACCCTCTCCTGGTGAGGGGGTGACCTTGGGCTTCTCAGGCCACCCCAGTAAGTTCTTGTCACTTATTGTGTTATTGGCAGCTATGCTGCTGTTGTGTATAGTGGGTACAGTATTGCTAAGTGATTGAAGTTAAAACCTTGAAAGTGTCTGTGAAGTGGCTTTAAAAATGCAACAGAATGCTAATGAAGCATTTCTTTAAATGTTTATTTCCAATAATTTAAATTGTTATCAGAGAGCCCAGTCACTCCCAGATATCCAAGAATTTGATGCTGTAATACCTTAAAATAATTCAATTGGGAACCAGGTTGCACTAAAATAATTTTAAATTGGGATCCATGAGCAAGACTATTGGTAAGTACCATGCTGTAATTTAGTAGTGATTTCTTGTCCCTCATAGATCTAGGGTTTATTCAGGGAAGAAAGCAGCAAGATGAAAGTTGAGAAGAAGGGAAGGAAAATTAAGGAAGTAATAGAAGAGAAAGTCGGAACGAGATTAGAAAAATAAACTTAAGGGGGATTTTAACAGATAACCTCAAATAATACAGGGGTTTTGTGCTAACCTTTTCACATCACCTTTTCACATCACCAGGGATTGGGTTACCTGTAGTGTTAACCATGTTGGGAGATTAATTAATACACACAAGTTAAGTTCCAGTTTGCCCATGCCCATCATAGACTCTATGCAACCTTTAAATGTGTGACACCTGGCTTATCTGTGACATGACTACTCCCCTGGGCTTTCATCCTTGTTTATCCTCCATGCTCATCCCAACGGAGGACATGCTTTTGAATATTTCCGCTTCAGCTGTTGATTCTTCACGTTAGAGTTCTGCAATAACAGAGTGCGTTCTAATTATAACACGGTGAACTTTTACGAAACACTGTTTGCGCTATTTTAAGTGCCTAACTCATTTAATCCTCAAAATGAAGATTGCCCTGTGAGGAGACCTAGTCACAGAGAGTTATGTAACCTGCCCAAGACCACACGGAGAGTGAGTAACAGGGCAGCAGGTCCGCCTCCTGATTCTGTGCTCCATGGTTTGGTGAGGACCCCGGTTCCTGAGGCCTCAGTGTTTTTTCCCAGTTTGGTCCTCGAGAATGACTCCAGCCAAATCACTGTGCTTCAGTTTTCAAGACTGTCCAACAGGGACCCTCTGGTATTGCACAGGTACTCTGCAGAATCAAAGAACTGATACAAGTCTGAGTGTTTTTATAATCCTTTAAAATGACTGCACAGGTTTTATATTATGAACAATCTATTGGTAGTTGGTAAGAGAAGGCCTTTCCTGCTGTGGAATTTCGGCAACAGGTCACTCATAGAGTTTGAAAACCCCTTGCACCATCTTTGTTTCTTCCTAAGTTCTGTAATCAAAGCATGTGGTGGGTGAATTCCATGTCATTGAAGAAAGAATGCTGCTTGGTTGGACTCTGCAAATTCCTAGTTAGTTCTGGTTAAACAGAATCTATTTAAGAATTTTTTTAAAAACTAGTTTTGTGTTTCTTCACATAGTGAAAAAAGGAAAAATATTTATGTATGCATTTTGACTGCTTGGTTATTCCATTGTAGCAGAGGCTTAATGTTTACCAGTGTCTTTAGAATTTTTTAATACATTTCTTGTGAACTGTAACTGTTACAAAGATGTTTCAGAAAAGAGATTGTTGACATAGTTTGGATATTTACTAGGAAAATGGGTGTGCCTATTAGGATAATTGCATTTCATGATATTAAGAAAATTGTTTTATGTTAATGTAATTGAACTCTTAAACACGAAATGTACAATATGTGTATAATAGTAAATATTTTTATATCTTAAGTATCTTTATCACTAAGATTTAGCCACAATTTTCATTTCTTCTCCGTCACCCAAGTGTTTGTGATATTTGGTGAAATGAAATTGTCTTCAGGCACTCGTCCAAACTATTCCTTCCCCTATTGAAAGTGAAGCATACCTTTTGCAAAATCTCAAAAAAAAGGGGAAATCTTCATCATGGATATTATATATTGTTTGTAGAATATTGCGTAATGGTGGTTAGTACCTTCCGATAAGAAGATCTCAGTGAGAACCCTTTTTAAATTCTTAAAGTATTCAAGAAGTGATAAATATCAGTAGTCAAGGATCCACCGGTAATCTACAGAGGTTGTCCTTCAGCCATAGGACTGTTGTCTTGAAATAGTAGAACTTTTAATTATAAGTGAGTAAGAAAGAGACCAACAACTGATAGGAAAAAGTTTATGGTTGTGAACAGATAGTTCCGAGTAAAAGAAACATGACTCTTATATGAACTCATCGTAATAAGAGAAATGCCAGTTAAAGTCATATTGAGATGCCACGTATTTGTCAGATGAGGTAGAAATCCAAAAGAGAAAGCAAGAAGCAGCTCTGTTTCAATGAGAGTGTGGAGGAACAAGGAATCTCAGACTTGCTGGTGAGAATGAAGGGAGGTGCAAACTGTATTGAAGGCAGTTTAGCAAGTTTTACTAAAATTTTAGGTGCATTTACCCATTGGCTCAGTAGTTCCACTTCTGAAAGTTTCTCCTAGACTGTACAGATAATATGCATAAAAGTTTGTTTTTTGCAGCGTGATGTATAATAGCAACAGACCGGAAAAAATCCAAGTGCTTATTTGTGTGGAATCAGTTAAATAGATTTTGGATATTCATATAATGAAAACTATGCAGTTGTGAAAAAGAACGAGGAAAATCTCTATGTGCTGAAATGGGAATCTCTCCAAGATAAGCTGTGAGTGATGGAGATCAGTAGGTTATAGTGTGATGCCTTTTTTTTGGTTAGAAAATAGGTAAATAAGAATATATTTTTGTGTTTGCTCATGTTTCACTAAAGAAACTCTGGAAGGTTACATAAGAAACTGATGAAAATGATGACTTCTGTGTTGGGGTATGGGGTATGCAGGTGGCAAGCAGGGCAGATGGGAGCAAGGGTAGGAGAGAGATTTTTAACAGAATACTTTTTTAATCTTTTAATTTTTTTCTTTGATCTAAATGAATGTATTATCTATTCAAAAACAAATGTATATTATTAAAAGCAGAGGGTTTTTATGACTGTAGGGGATCTTAAAGATTATGTCATCAACTCCAATCATTATATATGTGGGGAAATTGAGGCTCAGTTGTGTTAAATGATTTTCCAAGTCCTGAGGCAGAAGGTGGCTTAAAACCCCAGTCTTCAGATCCCGAATCTAATGCTTTTTCTAATAACCAAATCCACACTTGACTGCTATTCTCTCTCACTGGTATCTTCATAAAATCCATCCTTCTCAGTAAGTTGGGGCCATTTTGGTGTCCTGACACAGGACTAACTGATGTCAATGAACCATGACTGAAACGGTCTCTATCTCAAAGCATTTGGAGAATTTCACTTTCAGGGAATAATTTTCCAAATGTTTGCAGTTACAATCAAGTCACACCTTTATTTTATGAGCTCCCTTACCATTTATATATTTATTATATATTTGTATATGTATGTATTATATAGATAGTAAAATATATTTATTTTTGTAATTAAAGTGACTTAAAGTAAGAGGTGTTGGTAGTGGTGATTTTATGATTTCCTTTTGAGGTAATTTGTTACCTGTCTTTTATGTCAACACCAGGGCTGGAAATCATGCTGTAGAATTTTTTCAAACACTCTTCTTGGCTCATTAATGTATGAAAGTATATGCTCTTTTTAAAAGTTTGTTGTTTTTAACTTAAATTCTGAGCTGTATATAGAGTATATAGCATTTATTATATGTGTTGATGAGTGAGTTTAAATGTTCTCTGGTATGTTTTCCACGAACATATTACATTGTGAGATTTGTTTGCACTGTAGACAAACGAACGCTGCTTATAATTACAATATGTTGCCTGATCCCAAAAAGATACAATCCCTCTCATTCCCCAGTGGGAGGCAGCTGATGAAACAAAAGACACGTCATGTTACAGGAGATGTGCACAGAACATAGATTCTTACATTGTTTTGACTCTATTCCTATTTAAAAAAAAAAAAAAATTCCCTCCCCAGACTTCAGAGACAAATAGTCTAAGCTGGAATGGATAGGAATGTTCAGTGTCATCTCTGTGTGAGCACGTGCTTTCCTGGTGAGCAAAGGATAGAACCTTGGAGAGTTTACTCCATTAGTTTAAAGCCAATAAACAACAATTCAATATTATAGGCACTATAAAAAGTGATCAAACAAGTAAATAAATCAACTAAGCAAAAATATATGTAGGTTATCAACCTATTTTGACTTGCTATTTTTAAATTCATTCATTAACTCCCTTGGCATGTAACATCAAAGATGAGTCATAGAATTAGGGGAAAAGATGTCCCAGCCAGGGAGATCTTTGTAGAAAATGTGAAACCTTTAAATTTCTGTCGTAAAATGTGTCAGCAAAGGTTAAAGTAAATCACTTATTTTAGCACTTTGTCTCCACTGTTTGGCCATTTTAATAGACACACAAACTGTTAACACGATTTAAGATGTAAAGGTGGTGTTTAATTATTATCAAGATGCAGAGTAGTGAACCCTAATTGGTATTCTTTTTTCCTAAAACAACTCTCAGACACTGGCTGAGGAACTTAATCCATGTGTAATCTCATTTTTCAGACATACAAAGGGAACAGAAAATAATAAACACACTCGTGGACCTACCATCTTGATTGAACAGATGTTAACATTTTGCCATATTTGATTCAGATTTTTAGAAAAGGAAATAAAGCGTTATAGATGTAATTGAAGACTGAGCCATCCTGGATGCCTCTGTTTCTCACTCCCCACGTCTAATCCATCAGTGAATCCTGGCACTGTTTTCAGGATCTGACCGTGTGTCAT